AAAAAAAAAAAAAAAAAGAGAAATGTGTTCAGCTAGATGCCTGTCTTTTTGTACCAGTTCTCAAAGCCATTTCTGAACTAGAGTAAATATTATAAAGAGGAGATAGTCCAGAAAATCTTCATCTGCTTTCTTATTTAATTGGTAAAAACTAATAATGACACTTCAAAATACCTTGAGTTCGGACCCATCTGGAATAATACCATGCCCTTATTTTGACAGAGGTATTCAGCAGTTTGAAAATGGGCTTTACATAAATGGAATTTATCTGCCTACTGAATTGAGATACTATGACCCTTATAAAATCCAGTAGTATAAATCTTCTAGCAGATGTCTTTCCTCCATTTATCTATCTCATTTATGATACACATTTTGACATATGATATATTCACCTTTGTTTACAAGCTAAAATTGACATTGAATCATATGGTAAGAATTTCAGATACCAACATATACCATTTAAGAGTAGAACAGAGACAATGATTTAATCTGCCTTAGTTATGATTGCTTAAATATATTTAAACTCCTTTAGCACACAGGACACTATAAAGCTTAAGTTACTGTGCATGATGGTCCTGTAGGTGTCCTGTGCATTCAGTGTATCCCTTCCAAAAAGGAGGAGGATTTCTATGCCACATTTTCTGACCACGAGAGAATGAAAATAAAATTTAAAACAAAAATAGAAGCAAAACACAAAATTTGTAACAATTTGGAAATATGTAAATGCTATTCCAATAATAGATTGGCCGTGAAGAATGAAAAATTTCTATAGGAGCATTTTTTTTTTTATAACTGATGAAAAAAATGATCCCTATAAAGATCTTTGGACTTTGGCTAGAGTAATTCTTAAAAATATATATTATTCAAAAACACTTATTAAAATGGGGGAAAAACATGAAAATGAATTTGCTATATTTCGAAAAGAAAGCTAAGAAAGAAAAACTTGAAAGAAATCAAATTTTATAAAACAACTGACAAGTGAAATTTTGTCATTTTAAAATAAAATTAGTAATCAGTTTTTGAATGATGATAAACCAATCACAAATTTTATTTTTTGCAAAAAGCACAAATAAACAGAATTAGAAATGAGAAAGGAGATTAATAGCAACCAGTGTATAAGAGAAAAAATCAGGCAGGGCAAGATGGCGGACTAGGCAGAAGGATTGCACAGACCCTCTTCAACAAAGAAAAGGGAAACCAATTAACACAGACACAGAAGATAATCTTGGACCCC